TCAATGACCGCTAATGATTGTTTTAATGACCGTTACATATTCTGATTCAATAAACCAATATATGTTGGTATGAGCATTCTAGACCTTCCGAACTCATTGATGTATAAGTTGAACTATGGATTCATGAAACAAAAATATGGTGATGAATTAAAATTATTATACCAAGATAATAGTTTTTATATATACCATATAAAAAGAGAGACCTCTCTGAGTATATGAAATAAAATATTAATTAATCTCATATTTCAGACTATCCAAAAGACAATTCTTATGGTGTTCCATTTTAAATATAATGTTTTGGGTAAAATGAAAGACGAAAACAATAGAAAAATAATGACTGAATTTAAGTATAAGATGCATGCTTTAAGATTACAAGATGATAAAATTTGGAAGAAGTTTAAAAGTGTTAAGTATGTTACTAAAAACAGAATAACATTTAAAGAATATAAAGAATGTTTATTTAACCCTTTCCACAGTGTTACACTTTTCTGCACATATCACAACGTTTTTACAGAGTTACATTTATAAGTTTATTAAACAATGTACACGGAATAAACTTGGCATCAAAACGTAGTTAATAAATCAAATCTTAATGCTCTATAAATTGCAAATTAATATTAGAAGGAAATATTTTTAAAAATCCTCAATCTCCTCTAATATGAGAACTGTGACATTTGTTCTCTAGGTTTCCCTTCTTCTCTAATTATTTACCACCCCTCCAAGAAGTAAGGAATTTAACGTAAATTATTTATTATAATAGAGGTATTACTGAGGTAAAGCAAAATGTTTATATCCTTCAATCTTGTTTGTTTATAATGCCATAAACTAAAAAATCAGATCCACTTGCCACGTCCACCTGTTGCACCTTCTCTTCAATGATTGCTACTGAAGTTTAAAACTACATTACTTAGAACCATTGGAAATCCAAAGTTCTAATATATCAAATGACAATATATATATTACTTTGTTTTTTATACAGAGTATTGTCAATTTCGTCTTCAGTTTTTTTATACAGAGTATTGTCAATTTCGTCTTCAGTTTTTTTATACAGAGTATTGTCAATTTCGTCTTCAGTTTTTTTTATACAGAGTATTGTCATTTTCGTCTTCAGTTTTTTTATACAGAGTATTGTCAATTTCGTCTTCAGTTTTTTATACAGAGTATTGTCAATTTCATCTTCAGTTTGAAAGTTTATCTTGCAGTGTTCAGATCGAGCAGCTGAGAGAATTATTTTAAACCTCTCTTATCTTAGTTTCAAAGCCAGTTAAATTTTAATCGTGCTTGTTATTATTCTGTTTACTTAGTTGCATTATTTAAATAAATAAGAATTATTAATGTACCAGTAACATCGTTATAAAAATAGTAGGCTTAAATTTGATCGGCAACCAATAAAAAAAAACACACACACACAAGAAGTCAAAGGTAAGTACTATATATTTCTCGTTTTTCGCGTATATTCTTTTTATTATTATAAAAGTAACTTAAAAGTAACAGTTAAAGTAATATTAGGTTAGATAAGATTATGTAAGATCACGAAAATAATAATAATAATTCTTTATAAGTTATGTTTGTGTGTTAATCTCGAATGATGACAAAAATATATATAACCAGATGGCATTGATACTTTAACGTGGGATCATTTTTAAAGAAAGAAGCAAAAAGTTAATGCTATTGGATAATTTCAATATATTGAAAGTCGTAAACCGAGTGAGCCAAACACTGAAGATGGATTCAGTGTCTTTAAATGTAAAAAATTAAAACTCAGTTTGGTGATAGAATTGTAGCTGTGTTAATTTGCTGTGAAATGTAATTCTGGTTGTAATTGTACCGCTTTGTTGTTGTGGTTGATTACACTATAGTCATGACACAAGAATGGCAATAATTCTCCACTGACAATGCCCTGTAAATATGTTACATTTTCATACCTTGTCCATGTTTCAATAAAATAATATGTAGTTTTAGATTTATTAACATGAAGTCTGTGTATTATAAACATGTTAAAAGTAGCTGAACACATTCATATTTAAAATAATGTAAAATAGTTACCGAGATTCATTGTGACTTTACTGTAAATAATGTAAAATAGTTACCGAGATTCATTGTGACTTTACAGCAAATAATGTAAAATAGTTATCTAGATTCACTGTGACTTTACTGTAAATATGTAAAATAGTTATCGAGATTCATTGCGACTTTACTGTAAATAATGTAAAATAGTTACGAGATTCATTATGACTTTACTATAAGTTATCTAAAATCGTTACCGAGAATCATTGCGACTTTACTGTAAATTATGTAAAATAGTTACAGAGATTCATTGCGACTTTACTGCAAATAATGTAAAATAGTTACGAGATTCATTGTGACTTTACTGCAAATAATGTAAAATAGTTACCGAGATTCACTTTGACTTTACTGTAAATATGGGAAATAGTTACCGAGATTCATTGTGACTTTATTGCAAATAATGTAAAATCGTTACCGAGATTCATTGTGACTTTACTGTAAATATGTAAAATAGTTACCGAGATTCATTGTGATTTTACTGTAAATAATGTAAAATAGTTACCGAGATTCATTGTGACTTTACTGTAAATAATGTAAAATAGTTACCGAGATTCACTGTGACTTAACTGTAAATAATGTAAAAATGGTTCTCGAGATTCATTGTGACTTTACTGTAAATAACGTAAAATAGTTACCGAGATTCATTGTGACTTTACTGTAAATAATGTAAAATA